TATTACTTTGATAGTCTATATGAAACTACACTCATGATAAAAATTTCACTTTTTAATAATGAATTGTTTTGAAATTATAGATGAAACAATCTTCCTGATGCACTGCAAAATAAGTGTACAAGTAAATATTCTTTTATGATAGACAGTACTCATTAATAAAGCAATTGTCCATGATGATTTTACTTTTATTGTAATGAGTACCCTCTATTGTATATGTAGTATAATTGTGGTAATTGTTCATGCAGCTGTAGTTGAGATATAACATTATAAAATAACATAAGAGTCAATATTTGTTGAAAATTATCCTTTTCCTAAAGTATTGATTTTTTTGCCGAAACTAAAAATGTCCAAGATTTGGTTTAGTGATCTTACATCCTCACATCAGACCTAACAAAAAATATTTAAAAGAAAAAAAATCTAGCCAGGGGGGCGGTATGGCCCATGGAAAAAACGTCACTTCCATTAAATCAAATGTACTGAAATTTGAATAAAGTAAAAGAATTCGCATATGTATGTAATTTCGAAAAAGCGTATTGAGTTTCACAACCACCAATACAACAAGAGTCAACATTATTTCAACCATTCACTTTTAGATTGCACACGAACAAGAAATACTCTTATATATACCTAATTTATTCGAACTGATAACTATGAAAACATTCTTAAATCAACAAAACAATATTATTCATGCCACATTAAAAAATATTTACGGTTTTTTAGACATTTTTTATATGGCATCTAAGCATACAAGTTGTACTCGTTCTGCATTAACACCGTCTGAAAGTGAATTGATTAAACGTGTTCACTCACATTTCCCAAATAACGAACCCGATAAATTTCATTTTTTCTATGCAACAGCATCACCTTTTAGTAATTTTCATCCGTGTAATTTGTTAGAAAATGGTATTCAATTTCATACAACTGAACAATATATGATGTATCATAAAGCAAGTAAAAGAAAATTATTTTTCTTTCTGCTTTTAATTTTTTCAAATAAAATATTTTTTTCTATTTAAAGAATTATTTAATGATAATGAAACAGCTGAAGCAATTCTTCAAGCTACAACTCCAGCTGATTGTAAAGCTTTAGGAAGAACAGTTAAAAATTTTGATGAAAAATTATGGATGGATAATCGAACACCTATTCTTTCCCAAGGACTTTATTTAAAAGTATAGAATTCGTTTTTACTTGAATTTAAAAATAACATAGAAACAACAAAAAATGTTCGTTTTTTTTTCTAGTTTACCGAAGATGATCAACTGAAACAAGCGCTTTTAAAACATTATGGAAGTTTATTAGTTGAAGCAGCAGGCAACGATGGCATATGGGGTGTTGGGCTAAAGCAAGATAATCCATTAATTAGGAATCGATCGACATGGAAAGGACTCAATCTATTAGGTTATATATTAACCGATACATTACATCGCATTCATGATCAAAAATAAAAAGTTTTGTTTCTTTGTTTTGCTATTATCTGACAATAAAAAAAAAACAACTTCAAAAGAAACCACACATAAAAAATTAATGAAACGGATTGACCGTATTTCTATACATTCCTTCTTTCATAAGAAAATGTATAAATTCATCTTTAGTTACACGTCCATCTTTAGTTATATCTAATTTTGTCATCAAATCTTTAGCAACAGTTTCCGGTGGATAATCTTCAATATGTGTTATGCCTAGTAAAGCATACATTGCTCGAAGAACTGGCTCAATTTCATCTAGAATAACAGAAATAAGTGTGTATAGTTTTCTTTAGTAAGCTTTACCTTCTGTAATATAACCATTTGAATCTAAATCATAACATTCAAATGCATAATCTAGTCGTGATCGAAGGTCACCACGTGAGCATATAGCAAAACCAAGTAAAAATTCACCGAATTCAACATAACCATTGCCATCAACATCAAATGCGCGAAATACATGATCACATATATTGTCTAAACGTTCAGGAGATTCTTGACGAAGAAGACGAAATAAATTACGAAATTCAACTCGATCAAGACGACCATCTGGATTATCATGGAAAAATCTTTCATGCCATGTACGAATTTCATCTCGCGATAATCCTTTTGAAAAATAAAATAAATGAAATGATCGATTTCTACATATGTTATTATTATGAATATATAGAAGCAAGAATAAAAATTTATAGGAGCTATATCATGAAGCATTTTTCTCAAGGATAAGATCAATAAAAACATCACCTTGTCCGAACGTGACAATTTATTTCACTGACGTTTGATTTGTTCAATATTAAAGTAGTGCCGATTACTTTATTTATTTCTAGCTTGCTTTATACAACATCTAATCTATGCTTTTTTTTTTGTTAATCTGATTTAAGAAAAAGTACTTGACTTTAACCTTATTGCACTTTCATTACAACAAGCAAGCATGACTTCAATAAAATAGTACATACTATCAGGTCAAATAATATAGACTCATGTGGAAATACAATCTTTCATCTATCTCTTTAAACAGTTTGAAATTATACTCATAAAACAAATCTACCGATCTGAATAAGTGTGCTTTTAGTTTAAAATATTTAAATAATTTCAACTCTCCTTAAAAATTTCACGTTTTTTTTCATAAGATTTTATTATTCATTCCATTAAACCAATAATTAACAAAAGTCATTATTCACATATTAAATGCAAAATTTGATAAAGTTAGCATAAAATAAATATGTGTACTTACCGGTCTGTGAACAAAGAAAATGAATATCTCGTTCCGATAAAGCCCATTTAGTATCTTGATCATCGGATTCAGATAAATTCCTGTATTTATTTCCACCCTTCTGGGGTTGTTTTTGGTTAATAGTAGTAATTCCTATTCTATTCGACGAACTTTTTGTATTGCCCATAATATTTTCTAAAGTAATTAATAAGACAAATTTTACTATCCTTGTTTAATAGAAAGCAAATTCATAATACTTTTTCTTTCTTTATAATAAAATAGAAAGAAAAAAAGACTGATATACTTATACTTAGCCAAGTTTTATCTGAAGTATGTCTCAATGTATATTTGTGTATTTACTTTGTTACAAAGTAATGTGAAGGATTTTTGTTTCGTTTGCGTAGGAAGTATTAACTTCCAACCTCTTCAAATCTTCGTTTTGTAAAAGGTATCCATATAGAAATCAACAGCAGGTAAAAATAATAACGGTGACAAATTTTAACTGATGGTATTTTTTATAATGCACGTGCTTTTCTTTTCCCGTCGTCAATCAACTACATTATTTGTGTGCACATTGATTGTTTTTTCCTTTCTTATATACTAAATAAATCGTAATAATTAAAGCTTCTAGACTATTCAAATAGAGTTATTCACGCATATGATAAAATCCAGAAAGATTATCAAATAATGTATTTCCGCTCGAACTAAAAAATCATCTTCTCTATATAATTTAGTTCGATGTCGCTAGTAGTCGATTGACTACTAAATATTTCTATTTCAGAATTTCATTGGCGAATACAAACGATTCTGTTTTATCTCCTTGACGAAGAAACTGTCCCATGCATGAAGATTAACTTTTTATTTTTCCTACGATCGTTTCCTTTTCATGGTATTGATTATTATTAAAAGAAAATAATTATAGAAAAACAAAAAACAAAAAAAGATGCTATCACAAACAATAGATACGCAACAACTTTCGACAATGATTCCATTTCGTTATCGGATTTTATTGTATACAAATATTCTTCTTGTAGTGGTTGATATATGTATTAATACATTCAGTGAATTTCTTGCACCAAATACATTGGGACAACTTATTATTTTTATGTAAATATTTGTTTCATATTTATTTTTTTGTTTCAAACTATCCTTAATGATCGAAATCAAGAAATAATTAGATAATTAAAAAAGATTTTATTAAATTTTGAATTATTACAAAAGACAGAGTATGAAATAAATGGAAGTTTTGTTCTTGAAAATTTTATTTTTAAAACTTAAATCTTGTTTTATACTAATTTATAAATTAACAAGAATTAAAATCGTTACAAAGTGTCTATAAATGCAACAAATATTTGTCATCACAAAATGCAAATACTATGAGTAACGCAAAGTCTATGAATAATATTCTTGGTCAAACTCTATAAGTATTGATTCTATTACGTACTAATGGAAGTTATATTTTAAATTAGTTTTTCAGCTATATATGATCAAAAGAAATTCAATTTTGTTATAGTTTTAGAAAAAAAGCTATACTATAAAATGATTGTAAATGTATGTAAGTTGTTTTTTTTTTGTTTAGTGTCCAAGATGTATGTATTGTACTTTCACTAACATTACTTGTTGTTATGGTTTTAACAACTTATGTTGCTCAAGCTGGTTTACTCTGTTTACTTCTTCGGATGTTTCGATTTTCAATTGTTATTACATGCTTTTATTTTGTACTTTGTGCTGTTGCTCAAGCACTTATACTTGTAATTTATGAAATTAGATCTTTAATTTTATTTTCTTATTTTAAAATATTATTTTTCTGTAGAATGAACGTTTTCAATATGATACATTTATTAATGATGCCTTTAAGAAACCAGAAGTATTAGCGTTTTATGTTATTCAACGTACATGTATGATTGAATTATTATTATTGTTATTGTTTTTTATTTGTATGAAATTTTTAGTTTCTGTTTTATATTATTATGGAATGAAACGTGCTGCTTATCGTTTAAGTGATCCTCACTTTTATCAATCATCAAAATGGTTACAAGATCTTTGGTAAAATAATTGAACTTTTTCATATTTTAATTCATTTTCTTTGTCTATTTTCTAGGGAAAAACGTCGTAACGCTGCTACTATGCATGTAGCTTCAACAGCTGGATCTGCATCAGCAACAACTACTTGTGTTTGTTGTACAATTCTGTAGAATGAATTTGCTTTTTAAATGTTCTCAATCCGTCCATTGATTTTTTTTTATTTGTTTGTTTCTTTTTCTTTTCGTAACATTTATATGTCTTGTGTCAGATGTGTGTCGACGTGTGTGCTTCTCGTATCTATCATTCTAACACATTTTTTAGCTTGATATAAAAGACAAAAAAAGATTGTCAAAGCCTTGTTGAAGAGAAAAAATTGTCTTTTCGAAAGATGAATAATTAATGTCAATTGAAATGATTAAATATGAATGAAAGAATAATATGAGATGTCGATATTGAATTAAGTTTTCTAGTTTCAGATTTTATTTTACTTATATGTCAATATCAAATCTCGATAAATTAGTGCCGACTAAATATGGTTGGCACGTGCGTTTTGATAAACAATTTGATCCAACATGGAAACCATTTTCACGACCAAAACTAAGACAGGCAATTGAATATGTACCATTATTTATGAGGTGATTTTAATAAATATAAAAGAAAAAGTGAGAAACATTTTATTCTTGTTATTTATTAGATATCTTCGAGTATGGTATAAATTAAAAAGAGCAAAACGACGAGCACATATGGATTTTCTTAATCCAGTTCCACTTCAACAAATCTATGGTGAATAAAAGGAATATTTTAGGAATAATAGATGGTGCAAAAAAGTTCTGCGTTAATTTTATTTTTCAGTACTGTATGACAAGAACTTTTCGTGAAGACTTGATAGTTTTCTTATGGCAAATATTTAAATTTCTACTGCAAAATTGCATAAAAAATATGCCATTGGAAATAATTATAAAAGGCGGAAAAGTTTTAGTGATATGCTTGATTGTAAAAATTCTCTGGGTACTGCTGATATTTAGAAGAAAACTTCTATCCACTAAGAAATTTTATGCGAATAAATTAATTGGGCATCGTCGATGGTAAATCAAGTTATTGTTAGAAGACTGCTCCCTATGAAACGTCTAGTTGTGTAACTGAAATATTTTGATGCCACTAGAAAATCTACATCATGTTGATTAGATTCATACATAACGTGTGTAAAAATTTTCGAAAGTCAAGTAGAAACTAAATCGATCAAATATACTTCTCATCATTGATTTTGTGCGAAGTTACAAAGCATTTTTCTAGTCAAACCTGTTCTTCAAACCTTTCAGTATTTGGTAAATCTTTTGAACGAAATGTATTTCTACACAGCTTTGTAGTAGAAACTTCAGTTTTTCTAAAAAGAAAAATCATTAAGTTTCTATGACGAGTTGTTGTTGTGATATATTGAAAACAAAATTAATGCGGAACTTTTACATCACCTAATATTTGAATGTAAATGAGAGTTTTTCGTTTTGATTCTTATATTAGCTTTGTATGAAAGGAGAAAGTAACAATTGATTTATTTTCTCTATTATCTAGGCGCACCTATTGGTGGTGTAGGTTGTGGAACAATTGGTCGAGGTTTTCGTGGAGAATTTTGTCGTTATCAACTTGTACCCGGTCTCTATGAATTTAATACTGTCGATGCAAATACTGTTTGTTTTTTTTTGTCTCAAATATTTTTCTTGAAAAATTATTTACTTTTTTTTTTTTGATATAAATTAGTTTACTGTTTGTATTCGTCGTCGAAATACAACAACCTATTGTCAAGTATTAACACCATATCGATTAAGAAAAAAAGGTTTACGTTCATGGAATTGTGCATTTCCAAGAGAAAATGGTCATTATCAAGCTTTATATCCTCAATCATGGACAACATATGATTTACCCAATCAAAATATTCGATTACTATGCAAACAACTTTCACCTATTATTCCACACAATTATAAAGTATTTTAAAAAAGAAATTTTCTCCAAAAATGATATTGGTTTATATATTTTTTCATTATTAAGGATTCATCTCTACCAGTTGCTTCTTTTCTTTGGTATATTGAAAATTTAAATGATGAACCTGTTGAAGTTAGTCTGATGTTTACATGGCAAGCTGGTTCAGGTATTTTCTCTTTTTGGATATGGTCATTACTAAAACATACTTTTGTTGTTATAGCTTCTCATGAATTTTCATGTCGAGATGTATCACATGAATCTGTTGATGTTACTGATGATGAAATATCAGCTAGTGGGATATCAATCAAACAAACGTTACGTGGTATGAAACTTGAATATTGTATCATGGGAAAAAAACAGGTTTGTTTTTTGTTTTGTTTATTGTAATCAATATCTACAATCAAACTATTCATTTTAAAAATTTTTTTATGTTATCTAAAAATTCAAGTCAGACAATACAATTACAACACGAACAAACTTTAATATTAATTCGACTACAGATGGACGTGATGTTTGGCTTGATCTAACTGATGATGGTCGATTAACAGGTATTCAAGAAAGGTTTTCAATACAGTGCTGAAAAAAATTTCTCAAGCTTTGTAAAATGATAACTTCAAATTTTTTTCTGAATAGTAACTGTTTGTGCAAAGAATAAGTCGCTTGTCGACAAAAGGATTGTTTAGTTTTGATAAAATAATATATCTAGCGGACAGACTGTTCAATTAGCTTTCACTATTATACTATAAAAATCTGTGTTTGCACTGATAATCTTATACCAAAACATAGAACTAAGCAAAGTAAAGGATGAACAGGAAATTTTTCGAGCAAGTATTTGACTATTTTTCGCGTATTTTGACGCATTGGGAAAGAGTGAGAAGTAGTGTATTAGAATCAGAATTTTTTTGTGACTTTTGACTATTGAACAACAATTTATGATCTATTGTAGAAATGTTTAAGCACAGCAATTTTTCTGTGAAGATTGACTGTATAAAGTCTAAGGTAAATTATCTCTCAGAATAGAAAGAGAATCTTTGATATCCTTTGGCTTTTAAACAGATATTTCTAAATGATAGAATTCATTGAAAAGTAAGAGAATTCATAATACTTGGAACTTTAGATACAAGTCTCACTGTGTGATTCTTCTAAAACGATATTATCTTTTAACAGTTTGTACAATCTTTCTCTAAAGGTAAACGAAATCAACCGAAATGTTAGAGTTTTCTCAAAAACTTGAGGATACGATGGTATGTCTTGCAGAGATGACCACTTTTTTTGCTAAGTTTTCTTTTTATGTAATTTATTCATCATGTCAGTCACTAAAATTTTAAAAAGCTACAAGAAGATAATACTTTTTTTATACGTCATTAATTCTTTTTATTTCGTTTTTTTTTTTCGTATAATTAGAACCGCAAAATACTCGATCAACAGCCGTTCATACAGCTAGTTGTGTATGTATAACAACTACTGTTGAACCAAATTCTATAAAGACATCTGAATTTGTTCTTGCTTGGCATATGCCTCTAATTAACTTCGGTCTTGGACAAAGACAATATCGAAGGTTACTTGTGTTTAGTGTTAAATTCCATTTGTGTTTCATTTATTTCTTTAGATGGTATACAAAATTTTTTGATATAGAAACACTTACTGGATCAACTCTATGCGTATATACAATGAAGAATCGAACACAATGGGAAGAAGATATTGCAAAATGGCAACAACCAGTTTTAGATGATCAGTAAATACATTATTTACGACTAAATGAGAAATATACTTGATTTTCTTTATTTAGATCATTACCGGAATGGTATAAAAGTGCTTTATTTAACGAGTCTTATTTTATTGCTGATGGTGGTACTATTTGGCTTGATGTAAGTGAAGATACTACATTGCCTGATCATGTTAGAGAATGGGGTCGATTTGGTTATTTAGAAGGTAAATATGTCAAATGTTGAAATTTCGTTTAATCATTAGAATTTCTTCTAGGTCATGAGTATCGAATGATAAATACATATGATGTTCATTTTTATGCATCATTTGCTTTAATTCAATTATGGCCTCAATTAGAATTAAGTATTCAATATGATTTTGGTTAGTTATTTTATTAGAATATAATGAATAATATGAATGTTGTTCATTTTTAGCTAGTTCAGTAGCTTATGAAAAACGTGAAACTCGTACTTATTTATTTCATGGTCGAGCAGCTCATTGGAAAACATTACATACTGTTCCGCATGATCTTGGTGATCCTGGTAAATTATTGAAATTTCTCAAATTTTTTTTCGAAAATCTGTTTTTTTTTTACTATTTAGATGAAGAACCATGGTTATTAATTAATGCTTATATTTCTCATGATACAGCTGATTGGAAAGATTTAGGTTTAAAATATTTACTTCAAGTATATCGAGATTATGTTTATACTCAAAATAAACAATTTCTTATTGATGTATGGCCAACAGTAAAAGTAAGAAATGTAAAGACAAAAAGAACAAATTTTGATTTATATAATGAATAAAGATGGTTACTGATCGTGTTAAAAAACAAGATACTGATGGTGATGGTCTTGTTGATAATGGTGGTTTTGCTGATCAAACATATGATGCATGGACAGCAACTGGAGCCAGGTAACATGAATTGATTTCGATATTCTTGAACTTTTGTTTTTGTCTAGTGCATATTGTGGTAATCTTCATATTGCTGCTCTTCGTGCTTGTGTTGAAATGGCACGAATGATGGATGATACAAATGCTTTAGATGAATATGACGTATGGCTTAAATTAGCTAAAACATCATATTCAGAGAAATTATGGAATGGAACATATTATAATTATGATTCAAGTTTATCACGTCATCATGATTGTATTATGTCGGATCAATTAGCTGGTTTTTGGTATTTACGCTTATCTGGTCATAAATATGACGTAAAATTTATTTATAGATAAAAAAAAAAAGAACAGCCGAAATAAAATAATTTATTTACTAATTATAGGATTTTGAAAAAGATCGTGTTGATAGTGTACTTAATACAATATTTAATATGAATGTTATGACATTTGGTCAAGGAAAACTTGGTGCTGTTAATGGAATGACTAGTTTAGGACAATTAGAAGTTGTTAGTATGCAATCGGAAGAAATATGGACTGGAGTTACATATGGATTATCATCGACGATGATTATGGAGGTGAAATTTTTATAATAAAAAAAAAAATTGATAATGATAGACATTTGAAATTAAAAGATACAATTAAACATTTATCCCATTCTTTAAATGATTGATTTTTCGAGCTATTTCAACTAACAAAGCATAATATAGTAAACAGACCACTTTTCTATTTTGTAATTTTTGTGAAACATGATCTAAACTGAGTACTGAAATGTGTGAGTAAAAATTTGAACACTCGTCTACAGACTTGACAAACATCTTAACAACAAGTAGTCACAGACCATGATCTATACTGTTTATATATATATATAAACTATTTCACTATTGCATTTCTAGAGGATTAAGTACAATTGATGGTGAAGACCTGTGTCCTAAAATAGATAGAACAAAACAATCTTTTTGTGATTGATGACTATGTTGCGTTTCACATTTTAATTTCACAAAGATTGCACTAACAGCTATTTATATTTTATAGGATTTGAAAACCCAAGCATTTGTTACATCTGAAGGAATTTATAATACATGCTACAATGTAGCTGGTTTGGCATTTCAAACACCTGAAGCATTGATGCGTGATGGTCACTTTCGATCTGTAAGTGTTTTTAGTTTTTCATATATAAAAGAAAACTTTTTATTCTCATAACTAGTGTGGATATATGCGTGCATTATCTATTTGGGCAATTCAAAAGGCACTCGAATTATCACGTTTAGAATCAAATACTGACAGTAATAATGTAGATAAACATTAGTCCGGTTTATTTATCTATGCTTTAATCTCAAAAAGACTTGTGATGTTTTATTTATTTAATTGAGCTATTTTTTTTTGTGAATCAATTTTTTTCCATTACAGTATGCTTTCGCAATAACAAATAAGGATGTGTGTCTAAAAATTAATATTTTGAATCTTTGTATTGTGTTTACCATGTTTGTTAGAGATTTAGATGATTCTTTCCAGAAGCTTATTTGTTTATTTTTTTTATTCTTATATTTATGTTATTGCTATTTCTTTCTTTTATTCATAATAAGATCATCAAACTTTTCATTCCAAAAATCAAAAAACAAAAAAATTTATGTTGACATTTTATATTGAAATTTTTTGAACAGTTTTCTGAACTTAATCCTCGGTTCTTATTCGAAGAGGATCCTCAACTAAAAATTATCAAATTTTAAGCAATGAAACTGTGCATAATTCAAAAACATTTAATCGATTGCTTAATTCAAACATTTTCATCATCAATCAGTTCTTAACGTCATCAAACGCTTGTGTCATGTAATTGGAGAAAATAAAATATTTTTTTCACAAATATACGATATTTCTTAAAATAAAAAATTTTTTGTTTCACAAATATACGATATTTCTTTATGAATTATGCAAAGAGAATTCATCGCATAGGAATGGTTTGACATATTGCAAAAAGAAAATCATTTGAAAAAAGAAAACTTAAACTTTCAAGATGTAAAAGTACTATTTTTACATATTTTCTATTTTATTTTCTGCTCAGTATATAAAACGTTAAAATCTCTAATCATAAGCATTTGTTTAAGAAATTTAATTCTCAAAGGAAATTCGCGCGTAGAATGTCATAATACATTATCAAAAGCCATCAGTATTGATGAAAAAACAAAAAGAAATGAAGACACTACGTGATACGAATAATAATTATAGTAATACAATAGGTAATACAACTCAACAAAATTTTTCTTCATCTATTTTATCAACAAATACTCGACAAAATTCAATGCTATCAAATACATCATTACATTCTAATTCGACAATAACAGATTCCGATGCTAATACTTATCCTTCATTATTAACACAAAACCATCTTCAACAACAAACAATCTGTCGTACTAATCAGGGTATGTGAATGATTGACAACTATCTAAATCACAGTTAGAATATACATAGCTAATTAACGTACCAGATCTATCAATTGATTTATCATTAATTTTTTCATAGATAAATGAAATATGTTCTTTAGATCAACTATCATCTAATTATAATACTCAACAAACAACATCTAATTCAAAATTTACAACACAAAATAACAACAGTATAAATTCAAATTCTCTTCAATCACCATCCAATCCATTTACTTCTACGTTCAATGGTGGCGATACAAACCAATTATCATCTACGATTCAAACGTATTTAAGTAAATTTGGTAATAATCAAGTGTTTCAATCAGATGCAATGAATTCACTATTCTATTTACAATTAATGAACGCTCATACAATGTTTATGCAACAATTACTAACTAATCAACATAATACTTTTTCAACAGATTATGATTCCATTAAACATAATCAATGTTCAACTCTTCTGTATAATCAATCAATACCAATATCAAATATTGATTTACCAAAAGATATAATAAATTCAGGAAAAAATTCTCAAATATTACAAACTGATTCAAATATATTTGTACCTAAAACACGTCCTATGACACAAGATGAAATAGCTGAGCATGCACGACTAGTGTATCAAAGAGCTTTACAACGAAATCAATTACAACAACATAATGATCTTATGAAACATTTTTATGATACATTAAATATTAAACAATACGATTCTTCAACGAATAATATCATAAAATTAGTCAATAATAATGACGTACCAAGTGTACCTAATGTTGGTAATATCGGTAAGATATAACCAGAATAAAAATACGAGAGGGTAAGTGCAGTATCTGAGCACCAAATTTGACTATAAAGTACAGTGTTGCTCACACGTATTTCAGCATAGACTGACAATTAGAATGATCACTATGAGTGAGATTGGTACTATTTTGATTCGATTTTCAATCAAGACAAGATTATCTTTTCGGAAACAAATATTTTTTTTCCTATAGAACTTGACTAGAAATTCATGGAGCGAAGAAATTCCAGTTTTTAATCGGTTTTTACGAAATACGGGAGTTCCATTTCTCAGGTTCAGAGAAGTCTATTTAAAACAAACAACTGATTGTTATAACACGTGAGTAAACCGCAAGCAATAGGGTTCCACTAATCCAAATAATTGAAAAAAATCGAATTAGATATTTGGACACTTCGACCTCGGAAATCTTTAGTCGAATTTGATTAATAAATGATCATTTTCGAAACATAGCTTTGTCTTAATTTAAAAAATCAAATTAAAATAGTATAACTCTCATTCATAATCATTATCTCGGTTTTCGATCTAGTTCCAAATATGTATCAGCACACTCAGCTAGAGTTCAACAGTTTCAGAAAGTATCCGAAGTCAGAATCACGACTTTTGTTCCTTTTCACTATTGAATTATTAAGATTAAACACACCACATATTTCAGTACTTCAACAAAACCATTTTATAAATACATACTGAAATCTTTAATGTCAGCAGTTCAACAATGAAAATTTCTCAAAATGGATTTAAAAGTTTTGGATCTATCTAATGAATTCAAGTTTTCGGTTCAGTTCTCGGCTTCAGTTGTTTGGGTATATCGAATTCTACTTTTAATATCAAACAAATGCTGAAGTTTCTAAACCTGCACTTTCTCCCTTGATAAAGTATTACATGAAACTATTCTTTTTTTATTTTTTAGCAACGAATGGCACATTCGATGTATTTGATACAATGATTGCATCACCATCATCTTGCCTTTCAAATAAAGAACCTAGTATAAATGCAGCTCTATCATCATTATCACTTGTTTCAGCTGATGATGTTAAAATGATGAATAATATTGGTTCCATACTTGATCCAAGTGCACCAGTGTTTATTCCACGTGAAAGTCGATCCAAACTTCATGACGATGATAATGACACAGTAATTGATTTTGTCAAAAAAGAAAAAAAAATTGTTTTGTATTATTAAATGTGTTGTTTTTCTTCAGTCCTGTTCATCATCAGATTCTGATTTTAATGATTTTCATTATCTTGATCAATTTCTTGAAGAATTTTATAATTCAGATAATGAAAATGATAGTCATTTAATTACTCAAAAAGCTTCATCATCTGACACAACGAATATTGGTGATGAATCTTCAAATAATAACAATAACAATAATAATAATAACAAGCATAATATCAATAGTAATATACTTGGTCAAGGCGATGCTATTCAACAATTAACTCGTGAAACGACTAATGAAACTCTCGCACAATCTTTATCAACAACCATTGAAAAATCAGAATATCAATATTCAATTTATGAATTACTTAATCGGTATAAAAATCGATAAATAAAAAATTCCATCTTTATATCTAATATTTTTAAAACTAGATATCGTAATCCTCGTTGTCATTTGGTTCTACCTGAATGGTCACGTTTATCATTAATTCTTCCTAATGTATGTTCTATGCGTGCTCATACATACAAAATTAAACGATATTTTGCTTATCGTCGTCGATTATATGAAAATCAAGATTTTAATAAAGATTTTAATGTGTCAACAACAACAAATATCTCTATTCAAGGATAATTAACTGTATAGAAATAACTTAGAGCATTTTATTTCACTAAAGCATAAATATATATAGATATATATGTATATATATATCTATATATATATTTGTTTTGTTTTGAACGTGTTCAAAAAAAAAATATACACTTAACATGATATGACTAGTTAAAAAATAAACGATAAAATTCACTGAAGCACACAAACTGAACTTTTTGGGATCGCCGTTCGACGCTTCGCATTATTTCCTAAGCCAACACCTAAGGAATGATGTCGTTCACGTTGTTTACAACCTATTTAACAAAAACAAACCATCAATTGAAAATATCATTAAACAATAACACATACCACTTTTGTAAACTTCATGATTAAATTTTCCATATGAAAGATTTCCTCTAAAAACATATCGTAATAGATAATAGATAAAAATTTATATGAATTTACGTATGTAAACCAGGTTTAAGTTTAACACGAAAATGAGCAACAACAGGTTTATGATCTGAATGCTTGACACCTTCAACTGATTTATATTGTGTACATTCAATTGTTGATGTTGGTTTATCGCGATAGAGAATACGATCCTAAAAAACATTATTTTATGATACAAATAATTCTTTCAATGAGACTGAATTGACGTAAGGTACTAGTTAAATCATTCATACCAATTTTGTTTGATGTTAAAAAAATCAAATTTTATCTCTAGCAAAGGAAGTCAATAATAAATCTTGAACTTCTTTATCAGAATGATCTGACAGATATATTCAGAATCGTAGCCTATAGTCGTTAATGCCTACTTCTGATAAGCATCTGTATGTTGACACACTGTCGATTCCATCATTGTACAAATTTCGTCATAATTTATTTTACGCGATTAATCACAGTTAAAGAGCATTAGAAAAGAAGATCAACAATAATAGAAAAAAAAGGGAAAACCAAAGAAAAAAGAAACTTTATGCCTTGAAGCTACCGTACGGTATGCGGTGTCAGCTGTTGACAGATTCAATAGTTCAATATCTTCCTTACAACTATGATTAGGTGTAGGTCTGGATCGAAGGCCGATCTAATGCAAAACTCATGCGCTTCTCATATACACTCACTAGCCACACTAACCAAAAAAAGCAGGTGTATGTCACTACGCAGTTAGCATACTATCGGACAAGTGTTCTGTGGCAAATCGTCATCAATGACTTGTCCTCCGTCACTCCACGGTTGGTGCTACTAAAGTTTGCACACACTATCTTGTCAATACGTACCGAACAACTTAGCCGCTGACGAGATTACTTCATAAAATATCTGAGTTTCTGCGAAAATTCTTAGTACTATCT